CACCTGTACAATTTACAAACCTGGAATAAAAAAAAAAACTAAAGCATCTTTTGCCTGAGTAGCAATAAAAAGCTTCACAGTGAAGCTTTATTTTATTATTTCTTTTAAATTATTATTTTTATTATTTTTGATTTTGAAAAAAAAACTTTAATTAATCACCTTTATCATCTCTTCACTTATTTTGCTCTCTTTTTTGCCCCCTTTCATCCCCAACCAGCATTCAACCAGATGTTAAAATGTTACGCCTCATCAATAATCCAATAATGTAATTTATGTAATGATAAACATTCTGAAAGGAGCTGTTCTGCACAATGTCTTCTTCACCTTTTGAACTTTCCTGCTTGTTCTCAGTGAAAGGAAAACTCTCTGCAATGCATGTGCATTAAAGATTCAGGTTCATTCAACGGTGATCCACACACACACACACTTATACAAACAATTTGTCATCCATGACCAGGTCCAGTAAAGTGGATGGAGTTGTCTTCCCTCTGTCTTTCTGGGTCACAGAGTAAGGAGGTCAGAGTGTTAGGTGAAGAATTAGTAGCTCCTTAGGAAACCCAATACCTCCCACCTGGCCACACACACATACTTACACAGTGAACAACACAGACACACACAAATATGGAGCAGCAGTTATTCGCCCAGTTGGGACCAGATGCCTTCAGGAATCTTAGGCAGCTGATTAGAAGCTGGAGTCTCTCTCACACACACACACACACACACACAGTCATTGACACACACATCTGAAAAGAATATGAGTTGTGTGATGTAATGTTTTTAATGCTTATATGTTGCACTGTACAGTGCCAAATAGTTGTAACACTTCACTTTGTCCTCAAGAGGGAGTCTCACACCACACATCGGCTATCACAACTTGACTAACAAGGAATACAGTACCAAAGACTTTACAACTATTAACAAAATGATAATGAGAATGATTTTTTTTTTAAAGCAGTGAACACCTGTTACAGCCTTTCGAGAAGCCTGTTGTTTGACATGTAGAAAACTACACTGGAACACTTCCTTTTATGTGCTTTTAATGCTTGTTCTGAGTTGAAAAGCAGTGGGGGGGGTTCTTTCTTTTTTTGCAGAACTAATGGTAATTTGGTATCGATTCAGCCATTCAGTATAAAGGCAAATCCATTTATTTCCTATTTCCCTAAGAGGCAGGATGACCGTTTCAGCCAGGCTCTTCAGACTCCTGGTCCTCACAGAGAGACAGATATTCATGCTAATGCAACAGGACAGATACTGATATACATACATATAAAGTGGTAGCCAAAGCCTGAGCAAGCAACCATTACACAGAGAGAGGGGGATCTTGTCCTAAGCCTATTACTGCTAATAGGCATACTTGGTGGTAATGACTGAAAGGCACTTAGAGCTGGTGTATTTACCAAAAGGATCAGCCACGGCATGGTTAAACATGCCTGATGGATTAAATGAGTCCAATACTGAGATGTGCATACTGACCAGGAGAGGAGAAGAGACAGTCTGTGAAACAAAGCCAAATTTTGATGGATATTTCTTATGTATTTATTTATCCATCCATCCATTATTTATACCACTTATCCTGAAGAGGGCTGCAGTAGCAGAGACTTGCAAAGACCTTGCCAAAGCTTAGAGGTCGACGCTGAACAACTGTATAAGACAATGCAAGCCCAATTTACTGTAGTGCTTTGCAATACATTAATATAATAAGAATTGTTATAAGTGAGTGAAATGAATAATCTGTGCCTCTACCTGGTTATCATATCCACAGGTAAGTGAATATGAGGTATTACTCGAATAAAATTTTAAGGTACATGTACTGTACTTGAGTCATTTTTATCCAACTTTAAGGAGAATATTATATTAAGATGCTGCTTACATGTTGATCAATTTGTAATGATAATCCAATTGTATAATTGAAATATAGCAATATCAGGGGTCATGTATCCTCCATGACTGATACTTTTGATATTACTTACATATTTTACTTAAGTAACATTTTGAGTGCACTTGGGAGTATTTTTGATACTTAAGAATCTGAGCCCATCTTCCACCACTGTCCACAAGGTTCTTGTGCAGAAAAGCACAAGTACTGTAGGAATCCCCAAAATGCTTGTTTTTGCTCTACTTATTTGGACAAAAATAATATATTATCTTATTTTGTCAGTATCACCCAGTCACAGTTAAAAGTATGCAGAATGTTCTAGCTTACATGATATACACAAAATACGTTACCCATAGGCCTAGCATGCAGAATTAATTATTTTTATCCTTAATATTTGGTATGGTACATCATCAGTCAAAAGCACTTATTCTGACAATTACTTATAAGACTGCAGTATAACTGAAGTTAAATTTAATACAGTGCTGGGAAGGCAGCCAGATTGTATCTACCATCCATTTCTGTGACAGACATCAAGGGCATTATGGATCACTGGCCAGGGCTCCTGTCTAAGGCTCAAAAATGTGCATTAAGCTTACAGCATTTCAACACACAGCAGCTGTCTGTGACTGCAGCATGTGAGCTGACTTATGCTTTATGAGGCCCAATAACGTCATAATGTTAGAGAGAATTGCTGTAAGGCTGGAGAAGTTACTATGTCTGCATTATGCCAGTTAAAATATGGGGTTTCTCATCTACCTGTTTTGTTTAGAGTGTCTTTTCATAGGTACATGTACCGTTGTTTACCTATCTATGGAGGAGAAATTCAAATTAATTAATGAAGTCAGGGTTCGTTGTGCTGTCCACTTGCAACACAACACCAGCAGCAGTAGAACTATCCTCTTGTTTTTAGGAAGGGGCTTCCTGTTAACATTCTGAAAAATTACAGACTGTTTGGAGTTATGATGGATGCAAAGATAATCTAGAGGTACCCAGGATTAAACATTAAATGGCTGGAAACGAGCAAAATGAGCAGACATGGGCTCTTTAAGAGAAACTTCGTCCGATTCAAACAAAACATCACCCTTAGCTGCCCTGTAGCCTTCTAACTCTGCAAGATTCCTTCTGAATTGTGATTATCAGGTACAAATTTCCCCTGACAAGTTGACATTCAGAGATGTGAGATTTTAATACCAACAACATGTTCACCCCTGCTACCTCTCACATTGAAGACTGGCATACTGTCCAGCTGTGAAGCAGAAGCTCCCAGATGTTGTGGTGTTATGTAAGTCAGTATTACACTCTGACAGTCATGTGGGTAGAGCTGCTTGGCTTCACGCCTTTATACCAACACAGACAGGAAGTGGATTACCCAAAGGATTGCTAGAGTAAAGCAGTCTTTTTAGAGTTTGTGACATTTCTGATTCTACTGGGTACACAGCAGACAAAAACACTGTAAGGCATGTGACACTGGCTACTCTATGTGATAAATGAGTCGGCCAGTCAGTGCCTGGCCCTGATGACCTACAGAGTGGTCTAAAGCTGTGTTGATCCTGAATATAAATGTATGTTGGTGGCACTTGGCCTAGCTTCAGAATGGAGAGGCCAGTAGGAGGAGGCTTTGTGTAGTAGAGCTGAATAATGCCGGCAGCTTACGGAGCAAATGTGATTGTATTAGGAGGAATGTAAAAACATGCAAATATATTTGTATGTCTCACATTTATATTCATTGGCCAGAAAGAGAGAGAAAAAAGTGCTGGGCAGTTGATGCTACTCTGCTCTAAATATAGCTGCTGGAACACATTGATTACACAGGATCATTATCTATCGTCATCCACGTCTCGTACCATTGATGAGAACATCACTTCACTGTTTTCAATCAAGTACAACATATTGAATCAATATAGCAAGCACAAGCACAGAGTACAGCCAAACCATCCAAATATTTACTTAGATTTTTAAAGGTATGAGCATGTCTCATCCTCTTTGTGTGCTATCATTCCTTGTCTATAAATAATTGACTGATTGGGATGTACAGCAGCCAAGTCTCTCTGGGAGAGAGCCACAGATATTAGGGTGATCTCATTTTATGTTAGAGGCCATACAAGAGAAATCCTGAAACAACAGATGGACTGGATCACTGAGAGATTTAAAAGAAAAGCAAACACATGTTTTATTCACCAAAAAGATTTTCCCTACTTTATGTCTAGTTAAGCATAGTTATATTTATCTTTATTGACTGAAAAGGAGCTACACAATAGGCCGGAGGGGGTTAAAATGAGCAAGGGTCGATGCATTAATGTGAAAATGACTAGTTTTTGCACCAGGAGGTGAGAAAAATAATTCTCTTTGGCTTAAACCTAAAACACACCTGGAGAAAGCAAATCCACTTAAGTCTCCACTTTGTTAGCCTAATGTCAAACCGTATTCACCACTTAAAAAAAGGTCTAGTAAGCAATTTAGAAATGACTCAGAGTAAGCAATTTAGAAATGACTCAGACTGAGCCTTTGGTGTATACATTATTAGCAGTTTCCAGTGATTACTCTGCAGTATAATGGCACCACAACTCAGGCCTCATTTTCAAATGTCAAAGATCTTGTGTCCAGTAGACCGTTTGAAATGAAAAATATTTTGGAATTTTCAATTAAGCAAAAGGTGTAGATTTGAAGAATTTCTCATGTTTACGTATTTCTAAGCATAAAACACATCAGGGTGGACCCCGCCTCTTGCCCAGTGTCAGCTGGGACTGGCTCCAGATCCCCCCGCGACCCTGTTCAGGAATAAGTGGTATAGATAATGGATGGATGGAAGGTTGTATCTTCAATTGTCTTTTGTCCAACCAACAAATCCAAGGATATTCATTTTATTGTTATGTGTGACAAACCATCAGTTCCTCACATTAAACAAAGTGGAACCCGAAAATGTTGGTGATTTTTGTATTAAAATAGTTGTCAGTTAAACTGTTGCTGAATGGCTTAGTGAGGATGACAAAATGTGTTGGACACAATGATGCTTCCTCCAGCAGAGGACTACTAAAGCTGCTTTGGAGACACTTTACGTCTATATTGTTCACGTTATGTTAGGTTTTCCTTCTACAGTGTCTGTCACCCATCTGTATCTTACCTGTCTGTTTACAATTTCTGAATGAAGACAAGCAGTGGCCGCTAGAGGGCAGCGAGTGTCCGCTGGCAGGGGGGAGCTGGTCGTGGCACAACAGAGATCGCGGTGACTTCGTTGCCAGCCATCTGTCACTTTTACCGGGGATCGTTTGTCTGACAGTACCGCATGATGGGAAAGACTGGACTTATTATTGTGCACACGTACACTGCATGAATGTGTCGCGTAATGCGACCGAGAAGAGCTGCCTTTTGGGCGATTTGTTTATGGTTGGGAACGGCTTTTTTGGAGTAGCTAGTTGCTAGCGCTGGGCTAGCGGCTGGGCTGGCTACTTGGAACGCAACGTTATTTTGCGAGGATGCTACGTTGGATACGACAGCAGCTGGTAAAGCTGTTCTCCTAAGTTGTCTTTCTTATTGTATTAACATTCATTAGTTTACAATAGCAGTCCCATAATACAAGGTTCAACTTACGGAAAGCTGTTTGAACTTATTTGGATAAAATTTAGAAGGCTAAGCTAGTTGTTGCCGATGTGTGCAAAACACTCGTCTGTCACGCAGTGGTGACACTCAGGTGTAGGTTAACATGTTAGCTCACTTACCTTTCCAGCTAGCTACCCTTGATTAGCTGACAGTGGGGAACTAAGCTAACAAGCTGGGAACGAAACAAAACACACTAGGAGTGAGCTTAAATTTGAGTTGTTTAGAAGTTTGCTGGAATGATAACCACAACAGCATCGTCTCCCATTGCAATAAATACTTTGAATTAACCTAACGAACTAGCGTCAAGTTAACGGTGGCTAGGTGGTGTTGCTAACTTCACTTCATCTAGTGTTTATCCCCACGTAACTTGATTTCTGTCAAAACAACCAACAAACTAACTTTAACAGCTAGCTAGGTATTAGTCTTAACTCTCGAGCGGAATAACTTTGGTTAACCTCTCTTTATTTGAACTGTGATGATACATTTTCAGTGTTGTTTCCGTAGTTTAGGATATTGTAAGTTAATACGGGAGACACCAAAACACACACTGAGCTATGGGCTAAGCGAAAAGGTGTTAAAAATGTTTTATCTCCCCCAGAGTAGTCACAGTTTGATTCAGTGATAACGTTAGCGTCGCACACTGCTGGCAGCTATGAATGATTTTTATTTCAGTCATGCTGCAATGGCACAGTGGTCACATGAATTTTTGATTTTTGTCGCATTTTTTGTTTGTCAAAGCAAGTTTGAGTAAGAATCTGCATTGACACACAACACATGAGAGTGGTGTGACTAGCTGAGGGGCTGTTTGTGGGAGACATACCCATGTGAATGAGTGAGTGAGTGCATATTATGAGATTAGTCACATCTTGATCTAAATGTTGTTATTACGTCAGTGAGTTTAATCAGGTGTTGCTGAGCTCCCTGTGGCCTAGTCACCGAGTACTCCTTGTACTTTGGTTAGAGTGACACTCCTCAATTTGTGTGTACAAAAAAGTTTTCTGCTTTTGGAGGTTATTTTTTCTTCACTTTTTAAAGACCACCTTAGAGAGTTTGTGTCCATAGATATGGTAACATCCTTTTAATTTGAGATAGTTCAGTTCATTTGACCCATCCTGTATAATTGACCTGCCTACTTAATTAAAAGTTAATTAAAATACATTGTAATACAAAGGTCTTAATGAAAGGTTTGGCATGGGGCATTTGTCTGACCTTGATATCAGGTGGAAGGTAATGCAGTGATGTTTATTCGCTCACATATTGCTTATCAGTTTCTTTCTGGTGACACTGGTCCACATTAAAAATGGAGGAGTGGAAGGTGGGGCTTTTAATGTCAGTCTTCTTACACTAGTAGGGCTGACGACATCTTTGTACTGCTGCATAATTACTGTACAGTACAAGTGACAGTTGCAGCTGGGAAAGTGCTTTGACATCTTGTTCTGGAAACTTGCTCCAGTTTCACAAACTACAGTGCATACATCAATGTTGACTCTTCTTCAAAGCACAAGTTTTTATATTGGTTTGCTACCTCCCAGGCACCAACTGGTCCATTCTATATGGTGTAACATAATCACATGTTCATGCTAGCTGAGAAATGTGATTTAGCTTTTTATAACTCCAGCAGTGTTTTTGTTTTGAGCTTGATTTCCCAAAAGCATAGCTACCTCTAAAATGTAAAGCTTTTCTGCACCAAGGCTTGATGTGGCTGATATGGGATTTTTGGATATTGCTTGAAAGCATATGGGAGTTGTAACCTTCAAAATAGTTAGTTACTATATTAATTTTGTAATTTTGAATAAACAAAGCTAGAGGTGATTAAGTGTTCACTTTGATGCATTATGTGTATTTGAATTAAGTTTCTGTCTCTGCAAGCTGATTCTATGCCAGAATGAAATGATGAGGAGTGGGAGATGCAAAGGATTATGTGGATAAATGTGATTTGGTGTTTATAAAGTTGCAGATAGTGTGCATCATATTCTCTATCATTCATGATCATTCTAGGAGATGATTGTCTTAATAATCTAATATAGTAATGTGGTAAAACCTCATCAGTAAGTAGCGTCTGCTACCTTTGATTCAACTGTGAAGTAGTTTTGCTACAGGCTGTTCATTGAATGCCATGTGTTAGATGTGTTTGACGAGCCTGTGGTCATGTTAGTGTTGCTCTTGTCTTCAGTAATGCCCTCAAAAGCAACACCTACCGCACCTGACTGCTCTCTCTCTCTCCTCCTCTTTCTGTTGCAGTCTTCCTTTTTATCGCTTCTCTTTAAGCGACTCCCTCTTTCCATTTCTGATTAGCTCATCCCATTTGATTTAATGCCTCTTTGCATATTATACGACAAAGTGTGTTGCCTTGCTTGTGATGCAGTTGTTTTTCGTGCAGCCATTGTTCAAGGCAATGACTCCTCCAAGGCACCGTGAGGCTGGCAGGCTTTATGCTGGAAGTAATTACCTGTCAGTCTGCAAATTGATGGGCATGAGAGTTGGGGCAAAATAAAAATCCTGATTTCAGCTGTTATGTTTACAAGAAAAACACGTAGCAGTTGTTGCTATACTAATTGTAGTTTTTGTTTTTAAGTTGATTGCGGTGCTGCCAGTACAACATAAGAATGGGCCTTTCTCTTTCTCAGTCAGAAAATGTGCAAATATAAATCCTGACATTGTCCAGACATTCAGCATGTGTTTCAAAAGCTCTACAGTCCTTAATCTCATCTGCAGCTTGTTATATCCATGTTCTCTTTTTTGATTGGTATAAATTTAGTACAGATGAAAACTGGAATCTACTTGTATTCACTGAATTGGTTGTGTTAATAGGGGTGTAACAATCCATTGATCTGGTTTGATCAAACATCCTCTCTTTCAAGCTCTGAGGAGGGAGCATGGTTGCTGAAACATCAGCTTAAGTTTGGAATAAAGTCTGTACTGCCTAACTGTCAACAGTGCTCCTGCTTTTTTTGCAGTTTTGCTTGCCCGTTTTGCCAACTTGTCTTTTCCCCTTTGTTATGAGTCCTCTCTCACAAATATTACATTTTGCAGCTGTTTAGTTGACTTCTTAGCATCTAAGCTAAGATGGAGACAGATATTGGAACCATTCTCCTCTGATAACAGGCCACATTTGACTGAATAACACCACGATGCATGATGGTTGCCTTATTTTTCATTATGTTTGAGTTGAGAAATCTAGCTGTTGTGCAGCGCTGACATTCATAATCCAAATTATGTGAAGAATAATGTAGGTTTGTGTGAAATATTCATGGAACTTTTGAAATGTGTTGTAACTGGATCAGACATCTTGTTGAAACGCATTAGCTGTACATAGACATTTACTGGTGGTGATAGATGACAAAGCAGCATGTTGGCTTATTAACCACCTGTAGTTTTGTTCTGTGGCTTTACAAACTTTGAACGAGCCAGTTACATTTACTTAGTTCACTCAGTAAGATGAACCAGCAACTCTTAAAACTGGACTTAACAGTGAGAAATGTTATTAGTCAAACACTAAAGCAAGAACTATTAAAGCTTCACTGTTGTGCTTACAGAAATGCTGGGCAAGGTGCTTGCCTTAATTTCACAAGGCCACACCTCTGTTACAGTTACACGTTGTAGCTTTGTCTCTCAGCCAGCACTTGAGTTAACTTAAGACACTGTGTCCAAACAAATTATTGATTACACAACTTAAATGGTAACTGATTGATGTGATGGGGAGGTGGAGTCCTCAGATTGGCCAAAAAACTGGTTGGAGATAGGGACATTTCCTCCTCCAACCACCATCAACATTCCTTAGAGTAATCCAATAAGGTGCACTGAGTCAGATGTTTACAGTCCTAAAGTACAGCTTTATCATAATTTATCTGCAGGGATGCAATAGCCCATTGATCAATGCCAGTGACTCAACAGCTACTTTGGGGATTCCTGGTTTACAGAACTTGGTGTCTGCAGTTGCTGTCACATATAGATTGATTTAAAATCCTGTTACTTAATGTACAGCTTCTTCATGGGAGTTGCTCAGCAGCCCGTGTTAAAAGCGGTAGTACTGTGCATGTTCCTTCTACCATAAGCAGGAGCTCTAATTTATGGTTACAGTTCTGTGTGTGCACCTGATGAATCTGATGTTGTGCTACTTTTATGGTTTGCATGTTTAGTTGGCCTTCCTTTTTAAAATATTACAGCAATGTACAGAAGTGTGTTTAAAGTTAGCTGCTTTGAGATGGTACAGTAGAAGCTCTTTCCAGAAATACACTATGTCACGCCCTACCTCTGACAAATGTGTCAGAATTTTTAGGTTCCTAGTTAACACAGTTTCCCACAGCAGGAAAATTGCGTTAACCAGGCTCCATTCATTTAATTGAAATGTACGTATGTCACCTTTCTTTGATGGCTGCGTTTCCCTGGTCAGGTATTCACAGCAAGCTGTTTTAAGCCTTCTGTGGAAAATCTGCGCATGTTAAAATAATCTGAATTTCCTTTGGTCTTCACTTTTGTCTCTCGGACACTGCTGCATGTGTGATCATAGGACTGCAGGACACCTGGTTTTTCCCTGACTGTGTGCGCTACAGTGCTGCTGGGTGTCAGTATTTTGTCAAAAGACAATAATTATGTTGTTTCAGGCTCTGCACCATTAATCATACATAATTCATGAACTTGATGACTAGAAGTTTAGAGGTTGGATGTCGGTCTAAATATAAGAGATGCACCAATTGCTAATTTCATGGCTGATTCTAGTTTTTGATTTTTCTCACGTCTTACCTGCCATTTCCAATCTCCAGTGATCAATCGGTGCTTCTCTCTTAAATGTATATTTTGCAGCTCTTCTTCTGGACAGTACTTGCCTCTTCTTCCGTCCATTAGGTTTGTGTTGAGCCAGAGACAACATTGACCATCTGACTAAAATGAAACACTGTAGAAACAGAGAAACATTGGACTGACTTTTGGAAAGCTGTGAACAAAGTGTAAAAGAATGAATCAACAAAGTAAAACTCATTTTGGTTTCATTCCTGAAACTGGATCACTGATTTTAGGACAACTCATGAAGGAAACTGTTTCTGCATGTTCACTTTGTTAAAAACTGCATTTGTTGAGAGGTGAGGACGTGATATGAATTTGTAGAAAAAGCAATAGGCTAACAAACATGCTGTTGTTTAATCTTAGTGTTAGGTGTGGTGCATTTATTTAGACAGCAGGAGCAGATGGAGAGCTTGGGAGTGTGAAACAGAAATGCCCTAATAGTTTGTGTCCCTGAAGAGAGGTGCTGCTGTGTGCGTGTGTGTGACGTGGCCTAAATACATTTGTGTGTGTGTGTGTGTGTGTGTGTGTGTGTGTGTGTGTGTGTGTGTGTGTGTGTGTGTTAGGCTGATGTCATATAACATTTACAAATAATTGTGAGTACTGGTTTAAACACAGATGAGTGGAGTGTGACACAGGACAGTGCTAGAAAATAATGTAAAAACTAAACAAGAAATTATGACATTATTATTGATGGCAACAGACTAATGAAAAGTGCATTTGTTTATTTTGATCTCCACAGATCATTGATCGAATGATCAGTATTAGATGTTATTATTAACACTATCTCTAATATTAACCAGTGCTTAAGACTTCAGAAATGCTTCTCAAATGTGCTTAAACACATCTGATTTCTGTTTGAAAGCTGTATAGGTGCTGTGATGGTTTCATTAAATGCCACTTTCTAGCTAATTAACCACAATGGGCCAATTTTTATATTCAGAATGTCTCTTCATTTCTGTGGTTAGGCCAGAGAGTGTGACAGTACTGTTCAGTCAACTGTCTTCTACCAGTTGTGATGAACATGATTTGTGCTACACGTCAGTGTAGTTATTTTGGCATACTTTTACCTTTGTACATTTTTGTATGTTTTTCAGTAGGGCGTCTATTTACATTAGGCTAAATCACCAGAGTTAACTAGTAGAACAGAGGAAATGCAAGATTATAACTTTATTTTAAAGGAAGCTGTTTAATATGTTTGGCAGTGAAGGGAAGTATGACTAACCTCTGTACATCTACACAAAAATGCCCCTGGAGCAAAATTTTGTGCTTCTATTCAATGTGTTTTCAGTCACTGAAGGTGTAAAACCATTTCTCATGCAACTGCAAAAAGTGGCATAACCTTAAAATGCAAGAGTGAGAACACTGGAACCTTATCTTATTCTGTTATGACTGCTACTCTGTTACTGCATTTCCAAATGCAAAATTTTCAGCAAGAACTTTTCAGGTCCTTTTAACCAATTAGTAGAAAAACTTTACATTTTATGAAAGTAAGACGGCCTATTTTTGATATGAGCAGTCTTGCAGTTGAAATTTCTTGCTATCTCGATTTCTTGCTGTCTTATGTGAATACAAAAATTGAAAACCGATTACCTACCAAACGAACGAATATCCGAATAGTGGAATATTTGGGTCCAGTCCTACTAAAATTATGTTTAACTTATTTTTTCACTTTATCCTAAGAGTTGCTATGGAAGTAGTGTAACCTGTTGTGTTCTTTTCCCACTGGTTTCCTCACTCCCACATCCTCCCTCTTCTCATATTGACTTTCTTCCCTCAGGGCGTTGACCCCCCTCATCAGAGTGAGACCAGGACGGTTTATGTAGCAAACCGCTTCCCCCAGCATGGCCACTACACACCACAGCGCTTTGCTGACAACAGAATCATCTCATCCAAGGTACCAAATGTTGTATGTTTATTTATTTACAAATCAAGTGGTCTGAGGCACTTGCTTCTGAAAGATATGGTCTGTGACATTTTACCTGAGCAGTGACGCTAGTGGTTAAAGAAGAGAATGTCACCTACAGAAACAAATATTTGGCACCAGCTTGATCAGTGACAGACAGAGTCTGGATCTCTGGTGTGGTGTGAGAGAGCTAAGGGGTGATAAGAGGATCCACTCAGATAAAAATGTTTTATGTTTGTGAGAGTAGCTGCCTGCCACCAGCAGTGATGACTTTCATTGATTAACAGTAGGGCTAAATCACCTTGGTTAGTGATAGATTGATTTTAAGTCATGCTTTTTCAGAGACAAACAGCTCAAAATAAAAATAAGGTTAATCTTGACAGGGCTGTGTAGCATTGTGATGACTTTGATCATAATAAGGTAAAAGTATCTTCATAAAGCTCGAGATTTATTGTAAAAAAGAGTGATGAACTGAAACACAAGGGTGAAACAAAAATGGCTAGAGCAGCGAGTGAGCAGCTTGTCTGAATAAAATTCTCAGCACAGGGCTTCTTCACATGCCAGATGACTTTGAGGTTATGTTGTCAGTGTTGACTAAGGCACCTTTGTAAAGTGTAAAAATATTGGAAAATATATTCTTGATATACTGTATCTACAACCGCAAATCAGAAAAATTTGAGACTGTATGTAAAATCAAAATTAAAACTGAAAATAGATAATGTGTAAATCTTCTGTCCTGTATTACATTGAAAACAATACAGCAACACATTATTTGTTGTGAAACCTCATCAGTTTAGTTCTTTATTCATAATACTTCAATTCTGATGACCGCAACACATTCCAAAAAAGTAAAGCGTTTACCATGGTGTGATGCTGCCGTTCCTTTTCACAACACTTGAAGACGTTTAGGGACTGAGGACACCAAGTGATTAAGTGTGCCAGGTGTCATTTTGCCCCATTCTTCCTGCAAACAAGTCTTAAGGTGCACAACAGTCCTGAGTCGTCGTTGACACAATTTGCATTTCAAAATGTGCCACTCATTCTCTACTGGGGACAAGTTGGGACTACAGGCAGGCCAGTCCAACACTCACACCCTTTCCCTCCACACCCAGGCCTTAACATGTGCAGTATGAGGCTTTGCATTGCCTTGTTGAAATCTGCATGGGCATCCCTGGAAAGGATGTCATCATGAAGGCACCATGTTGCTCCAACATCTCTCTATATTGTTCAGCATTAATGGAGCCATCACTGAAATGTAAGTGACCTTTGCCAAGGGCACTGACACAACCCCAAACCATGACAGACCCTGGCTTTTGGACTTGTTGCCGGTGTCCTTTCCTTCCAAAAAAGACCTGAAATACTGATTGTTCTGACCACAGTACACGTTTCCACTGTGTGATGGTCCATCCCTGATGCCTCTGAGCCCAGCGCAGTCGACTTCTGGATACTGTTGACACAGGGCTTCCTTTTGGCACAGCACAGTTTTCGGCACAGATCAGATTTGGGTCATTTATATGGGAAAAATATTGGGTTTGTGCTACTAAGGCAGGTAAGCCTTTGTCCCGTTCTTGTGAGCCCTAAATGTTGTTTTCTTTCTCTTTCAGTATACAATTTGGAATTTCATCCCCAAGAATCTGTTTGAGCAGTTCAGAAGGATAGCCAACTTCTATTTTCTCATCATCTTCCTTGTACAGGTAATAACACTCACATGCACTTCTCTTGCTAATAATACACAATTAAATGTGCCAAAGAATGGCAGAGCATTCAAATGGAAGCTCAGTATGAGTTAAATGATGTTTACTCATTATTTGACCCCAAAGGTCATGCTGTCATAAATCTTCAGAGCCCCACAGTAAGCAACACCATTTTCAACACCTATTCTCAGCCAAGCAAAGAGCATCTGCATTATATTTGCTCAGGTTAAGCAGTGGCCGAGCCAACTGGCTTGTATTGGCGGTCAGTGTGTTCCGGTGTCCCAGAACCACCCCCCTCTTTGACTGCACCGGCACACCCAACACAGCCCTTCATCTACTCAGGCTAATTCAGGCTAACTGTTACCAAACAGTCACTAGCAAATGTTTGAACTGCTGCTCTAGCCACCAAACATTTCAGATAGCTGAGCAGATAGCCAGACTTCTGCTTCCTTTTATACAGCATTAGAAGCCACCCTGTGTTAGTATTCATTCCAACAAACAAGTCAAACCTCTAAAATGCCCTCATGTTAGCTTGCTCATGCTAACACCAGGAAGTAGGCCTGCTGCATGTATCAAACACGTCTGTCCTCCTGTGCTAGTTTACGTCAACTTAACAGGCATAATCCTCACATATGTTGCTATTTATAAATCACTTGCCTATTTTTACCCCATTCACTCTTTGCAGGTATGTTCTCAGTCAGATTGTGATGAGTCAAGTGTGGCTTCAGTTTTCGTGCCTTAATTACAAATGTGTGTGTGCATGAGTGAGTCACTCAGTGACTTCTAGGGACCAATAGAGAGAGAAGTTTGTCTTTGTATTAAAATATCAAATAATAAAATCATTAAATATTACACCCACACATTAAGCAGTATATGTGTCTTTACAGCCAGCCCTAGGTGTTAGCCCTTCACTATGCTATGTCAGACTGTGCTGAAGCAGGATTTGGCTTTCAGATTTTCAGGCTTCTCTTGATTTATTTGGGCCTGTGTTGTGAAGGTAAAGCAATCAACTTGATTGAATAGGAAAAAAATTGGCTCATTCTTTGTTCAAAACCAGGTAAAAGGCAGATGCAGTTGCAGTCAATATATGCACAGTGCATGTATAATGACAAACGGCAAATGTTAAAATGTAATCCAGAAAGTAATGCCCAAAACACTAAAAGGACATATTACTGTGCTTTCACATTTTGTGCTGCTCTAAACACTAGCTAGTCTGCAAAAAAGATGTTTTATATAGGTCACCCTGGTGGTTAAGTGACACCATATAACCACGTACCACAACTCAGCCTAGGGCGTTTGTTGCATGTCCTATCCCCTCTTGCCCTTCATATCCTTTCCCTCTATACTGTCAACTGTTCAGTCAAGGCCAAAAGATGTTTCAAGTGAATGAATGAATCAAAGGTAAATTAATACTGAAGGATAGAAGGGTTTTTTAACAGTTGCATAGGTGGATGTCTTTGCTTTCAGTTTTTTTTTTATCACAGCAGTTTTGGTTAAAATTTGCATAAAGTGCTGAGTATGAACCTTTAAAAACAAATGGTTTGTCACTGATTTAGTTGGTACTGTGAAAGCTGAGATGTTTCTACACCAGTAAATATTGTAGCTTTTACTGTGACTCTTTGTGTCTGTGTTCATGTCTGAGTAGTCCTGAACTGACAGTTAACCTGTGAAGGAAGTTGTTGGGTTTCCTGTTTGACACATCAGCCACTACTTCTCTCTGTTCTTTTTCTGGTTGGCCTGTTTTCTCTCTAACAGAACACGCACACACGCTGACCAAAACACTGCCATCAGATTTTTTTTTTCCTGTTCACCACACTTCCAGTTTGTTGAAATCTCTGCATCCCCTCCTCTGCCTTTGTCTTTCCAGTTAATGATAGACACCCCCACTTCCCCAGTCACCAGCGGCCTGCCTCTCTTCTTTGTGATCACAGTAACTGCAATAAAACAGGTGAGAGCAAATGCACGATAGCTTCCTCTTTGTTTGGCTGCAAATGAGGAACTAACATGTGTAAAGTTGTATAAACTGTAGTCAACAACTTGTGATATCAACTTGATTCAGTTGATTTTAAATTAAGAAACATGGAACCAAACAATTGATTACCTTGTTAATTATATGAAAATTAAGAAAAATCTTAGGTTGATTCAGAATGTTCTCCAACTAGTAATGAAGTTGATACTGACATAAAAATTAGTGACACTAGTTTTGTGTCGCTGCTGTTGATCAGTGATGTTATATTCCACTGTAAAGTCAGTTATTGAATTACTTTTTCCATAGGGCTACGAGGACTGGCTGAGACACAAGGCAGACAATGAGGTGAATGGGGCTCCAGTGTTTGTGGTTCGCAGTGGAAGTCTGGTCCAGACAAAATCCAAGAACATCAGGGTAAGATGGCAAATCTAGCCCTAAAGGGACTTATTATACCTGTTTCTAGAGTTCAAAGATGAACTCCTTGATTAAGAACAAGACAGTAGTTCTACCAAAGCTCATTAAGCAACGCATTACGTTTATTAATAGGGAAGACCTGTACCTCAAAGTGCCTAAAATAACCTCTTGCAACTCATAGCCAGAAGCTGTGAACTAACTTTAGATTGGCTGTTAATTTCCTGGTGCTAGTGGTCTTTCTGTAGAACTAGACTGAATAGAATGATAATGTTGTCAGTAAAAAGAAAAAGTGCAGTTTCTTATATTAGGATTGCAGAAAACTGAGCTGTATTCATAGTATCACCGGAATGTTCTGTGAATTATGTATTTTACAGTAACACAAATCTCAACAAGTTCCACTGTTTGTTTCATGTCCACATTTTTGACTACATTAGAGTGGCGTTATTTGTACTTATAACCCATCATCTTCCTGAAGACCACTGATGTACCACAGGGATTCATTTTGAGCTGTTTGCACACTTGCAACTCGCCCGTTAGCATGAACAAGTCTTGCTGTTACCACTTCTGCCACTGATGAGGTCTGTTTCTTTTTGGCTAGTGTGCACAAATCCTCAGACGTCAAGCTTCAGACACACTGTAACTAGTGTGTCTGTCAACGAGACGCCACCTAAATGACGCATCTCTTAGTCAAACAGTAAATCAGCCTCTCAAGCTTTTCAAGTATGCTTGATATTTGTTGACCCAGCCTACAGTCAGGATAACTTCCTGCTAACGGTGTGTTTTTCTGCCTGTCCAACTAGGTTGGGGACATTGTTCGCGTGGCTAAAGATGAGACATTCCCAGCTGACCTGGTATTGCTGTCGTCAGACCGTGCAGACGGCACCTGTCACATCACCACAACCAGCCTTGATGGGGAGACCAACCTTAAGGTCTGTGTGAGTGTGTTGGCTGTGATGTGTCTGATTTGTGGAGTGAAAACCTCTAACAGACAGGCTGTTACTGTGCCCTGTGTAGTTTTTGTTCTTTCTGCAAAACAGGTAGTGCACTGTACATCATACTCATTCATGTGTCAGTGTTCAGACTGACTTACTGCCCTACTAGAAAAAGCACAGCCAGGGGTGCAGTGGGGCTCCAGCCAAACCAGGCAGGGTCATACAGCATAATGCAGAGCTGACCACTAAAAAAAGTTCAGCGAGGCTCCACTTTTGCTGCAGTGCAACATGACATCATCTGGCAAGGTGCTGCATGGGCCAGGCGCACCTTCCTAGTGGATTACTTTGTAACTGAATGCCATCTTCATTCTGTATAACTTGCAATCATTGTGACTTTCTAGAGTTTTAAAATAATTTCTATGAACCCTTTATGCTGTGTTTCAACATCTTATAAGCCTTTAAAGGGACATTCTGTCACTCCTACTGCACTTTCCATATCCTATTTATTTCTCACACCAGTACCTTGAACAGCATGCCTTCAACAATACTGCGTGTTTAACGTGGCCATTTTTAATGTGTGACCCTGCTTATACTGTACACCAGATGCCATTTGGCATTTGAAAAACTTTAAATGATTACACACTTTTGAATCAGTTTGAGTAGATGGATATACAAATACAGTGTTTCTTCTTTGATTCAAATATTATTCAAATGAACCTGTCCACTGCTGCAATCCACCGTGTTGTCTAACCCACACATTCACCGTAGCCTGACATTGCCCCTCCTTCGTATGGCCATGTTAGAGCAGCAGCAACTGACTGGGCCGGTTATTTTGTCAATAGAAATGTTTCTGTTCTCACACTTGATCCATTTGTCCACGAGTTCTTCTCACTGTGTTTTGTATAAGGTTTTTCTGCAAACTGAAAACGTATTTTTGTTTCATTATAAACTGTTTCTTAACTTTCATCAGTTTTGAACTGTATTTGTGTGTTGTGGTTGTCTGTTTATAGACCCACTACTCTGTGGCAGAGACCTCAGTGTGTCAGTCGGTGTCCCAGCTGGAGGCTCTGCAGGCTGTGGTGGAGTGCCAGCAACCAGAAGCTGACCTGTACAGGTAACCTGCACCTGTGTGTGTACACATAAATTAAGATTCTGCCTTTGGAACCCACATATAGAAAGAATTTTGTGTGTGTATGTACTTTGTATGGCCAGCAGTGTGAGACCGGTTTCAAATTTAGACCATGGGATTGAGGACATTTTGGCTCGTCCTCACCTTCTCAGACGCCTTCAGAGGGCTGTTTGAGGGTCAGGACTTAAGGTTAGAATTAGGTTTAGGTGAAGGGTTGTTTTAGTTGTGATGCTTACGGTTAGGTTAGGTTAGGTTAGGGAATGCATTATGTCATTTAATGTCCTCACAAAGATAGCTATAAACGTATCCTTTTTTTAACAACTGTTACACTGTAAGTATAGATAAGTCAGTTTGCTTATTTCATTTTCTGGGATCCCCTGAAGAACAGATGGAAGTCTTCAGACCCACTTTAAAAACCACTATGATTAATGCATTGTAGAAATATCCTGCCAGAGAGGTTATTAAATGGATGATGGGGTGAGACAGCTTCATCACCTCTTCAACAGCGTCTCTTCCTCTTGACTGTCTCAGCTGGCTGCCTTAGGATCGATCAGAGTATTTTTAGATCAGGCAGTTTGTTTCAGCAGCAGTTTTCTCCCTTCTCCTTCTCTCGGTCACTCGCTGTCTCTCTCTCTCTCTCAACTCTCACTGTGTTTAAATGCCTTTAACTAACCCAGCTATTGCCAGCTTTCAGTAGTGATCTGATTTGTTCAAAATCATGTCAACAAAAAACCCAGTTTCCTTATTCAGTATAAGAGACTATGACAAATCTCATTAGAATCCTGCCAGAAGACACTGGTTATGCTGTATTTACTTTACTTATGTGCAGGAGCATCACTGCAGTGCAACAGGATAAAACAGAAGGTCTGGTTGTAATTTATCCTTGTTCATAGTAAGTTAATCCATCTAAATGTATCTCTCTCCCTTAATGAATAAAAATTTTCACACTTGAAGAAAAGCTGTTCACTACAGATCTCGGTTTCTAAGTGTGCTGTCAGCCTAAGAGGGTTATTTACTAAACCCGCTGCAAATCACCATCAAATGTACAAAATATTGCGGCACGGCAGTTTTTCAGTATAGTGGCATATTTATCAACACTGACGATGTAAATGAGCACAGCTGCAGCGGTGTTAACCTGAATACAGAGAGTCACTGAACTAATTCATTTAAAATATGTTGGAGGAGATGGAGGGAGAAATATCATTACTGACCAGATGCAAATAAACATAGGCTTCACAGGAACATGGTTGTTTAAGTGCCTGGTTTCTTTTGTGTGTGTGAATCACTCAGAGTCTACTCAACTGAGATGCCTTTTGTGTTTTCTAGGTTTGTTGGCCGGCTTATGGTGACTCAGCATGGGGAGGAGATAGTCAGGTGAGACCAGTTTTGCTGGTTTGGCTAAAAATTTAATTTGTAATTATACAGTATTTGTTCAACTCCAGCTAAAGACACTGAAACAATATAAGTAGCCAAAACATTTTTAAATATACATCCTGGTTAAAACAGCAGCAGAGAGAGCCCCATAGTACTGTAAGCGGAGATACCAATGTAGTACCAACAACTAAAAAAGGGGATGGTGAAACATGAAAGCGTGTCTCTGTGAAATGTGTTTTTCATGCATTTTGAAGATAATCAAGTGCTTTCTGTCCTATTTGAAAGCCCTAGATAATGTTAGAAAATCACCAAGCATTACTCTGAAGGTTGTCACCAAAAGAGAAGCAATGTGTTACTAAATGAAAAAGAATAATTACATTTACAGAAGATGAATGAGCCTCAGGCTCTTTTGATTATTAGGACTTTTTTTTAGTTCTTATTGTACCAACATCATGTAATAACATCCGTCTTCCTCTCTATTAATGTGATTTTTGTTTTCTTTTATGTCAGATCTCTGGGTCCAGTGAATCTGCTGCTACGAGGAGCACGGCTGAAAAATACCAAAGAGATTTTTGGTGAGTCTGTTCATTGAGAATCAAAAGAAAAGGTCATGTAAAACTAAAACCTCCATCTGAGACCGAAGCAGCTAGAGGAGTCAATTTTTCTTATAATAAGATATTCGTAGTCAAATTGCGAGAGAACGAATGGAAAAAATGTAGCTGCTGAAGAGCAGGTTGCTTCTGAAATGCTTCCAGTGGATACTGGAAGATTAATGGCCACATCGCAGCTGTGACACAAGCCAAGCTCAGTGAACAATTATGGCTGAGGTCTGATTATGTTAATTGAATGCTGTTAATTGTTTTATTTGAATGCTTCACTAGTGTGTGTAGGAATTGTTTGTCAGAGCCAAGAATCTAACACGAATACATGAATAATTGTGGTGCCGTATGCTGTCATTACTTTATGCACAAGTTGATCAATGGTCTAAAGGGCTAATGTCCTACCAGCCTGGCATTATACTCTAACCAGCTGTGCTATTGCAGGTGTCGCAGTGTACACAGGGATGGAGTCCAAGATGGCCCTTAACTATAAGTGCAAGTCCCAGAAGCGCTCTGCAGTGGAGAAGTGAGCACTTTCTGTGTCTGTCAGAGTAGGCAGCGTATTGCGGTTTTAAATATATGCTCATTCTGCATTCTTCTAAAAATATTTTCCTTTGTCAGGTCCATGAATACCTTCCTAATCATCTACCTGGGTATCTTGCTGTTTGAGGCTGTCCTCAGCACCATCCTGAAGTATGCCTGGCAGGGTGAGAACAAATGGGATGAGCCGTTCTACAACCAAAAGACTGAACAAGAGAGAAACAGCAGTCCGGTTAGTGTGCCTCACTTTAAGTGTCAGAGGAATGCATTCTTATTGTTTTTTTTTTGTTTGGTTGTTTTGCAAGTATTGCGAGGTATCAGTATTCCATTCCTCTTTCTTTTTACCTCTGTGCAATCTCTGATAGTGTTCTTTCTTTCTACTTTAACAGAAGGGCCTTTTCTCTCTGCAGATAGAAATTAAAAGACTTAAGGCTGGCACACGCTACAGGATAATTAAGCAGATTTAGTGTCCGATTTGCCCCTCCCAATGACTCAATGCTGGTCAGATTATCGGTCCAAATGATGTTATGACATGATCTTATTGCTCTGGACTGGCACAGAGTCTGTCATAAATATCATAACTATCAAACATGTTTGATATTTACGATTTGAAGCCCTGTAGTTTGAAGGGACAGCAATGGAATATTGGAACTGAAACAGCAATAGCCAGTCAGAGCAAGCTGATGGGGATGCATAACATTAGGCTAACTTTAGCTAGCCATTAGCTCAAACTAGCCTGAAGTCAGCAGCTGCGTTTATCTAATGTCACTCACCTCCAGTTTCTTCTGTAGGACTTTTTTTTTTGGCCTTTTCAGCATATAAACAGTGCTAAATGCTGGCTGCTGTCCATTTGTTTCACTGAAGTGTAGTTCAGACTGGCTTATCTTGTTTCACTATTTATTTTTTTGTTGTTGTGTTGCCTTTGTCTTGTTCCTTCTAATGAAATTTGCTCTTACCTTCCTTTAGATCTTGAAGTTCATCTCAGACTTCTTGGCATTTCTGGTCCTCTATAATTTCATCATCCCCATCTCACTCTATGTTACTGTGGAGATGCAGAAATTCCTGGGCTCCTTTTGCATTGGCTGGGATTTGGACCTTTATCACGAGGAAAGTAACCAAAAAGCTCAGGTCAACACCTCTGACCTCAACGAGGAGCTAGGGCAGGTATGGCAAGAGAGCACACGTGCACACGCACTCACTTTCATATGCACAAAATATATTTCTTTTTTTTTTTTATGAGTATTGTGTACAGTAAAAAAGGAATATACAGTACTGCATACTTGAATTTTTTAATGAATGTATTTTTGTATAGTTAAATATTAGAATAATATAATAAAAGCCTGTTTACATATGTCTAAAGGCAGACGTTTATTCATATTTCAGGTGTTTATGATTATTGAGCACACAATGTTATTCTAATAGCATGAGAGGAAACGTTTCTTCCTCACCTTTAGTAATATTCAAACATGTGCATGTTTGTTTCTATTTCTTACATGTTTGTGTTTCCCAGGTGGAGTACGTGTTTACTGATAAGACTGGTACGTTAACAGAAAACGAGATGCATTTCCGTGAGTGTTCAATCAATGGAACCAAGTACCGGGAGGTTAATGGCAAACTGGTACCAGAGGGAATGACTGATGATTCACCAGACAGCGCTACACCTCAGCTGGTAACTCACATATATACTGTACACATTACATTCATTTACATACATATATACAGTTCTTATTTCTGACAGCAAATGCACAAAATGTTCAAATTCGTTCACTCTGCCTTAGCTAAATGTTGCTCTGTGTAAGTCAAGTGACTGAATCATCATTTATGTTTGCAGTAACATATAGTATGTCACGGTTTGCATAGGAATGTATGTAGTTTCTTATTCTCTTATCCTTCTCTTTTTTTTCTGTCCTGTCAGGTTGCTGAGGACCTGTTGTTTCTCAAGGCGGTGTCATTGTGTCACACTGTTCAGATCAGCTACGACCAGCCAGACTGCCTGGTTGGTGGTGGAGACCCATTCTCCCATGCAAATGGTTTCTCATCCAATCACATGGAGTACTATGCCTCTTCACCGGATGAGAAAGCTTTAGTAGAGGCAACAAAGAGGTGAGGTTATATTCGCACTTGTTCAAGAGATCCCTCCCCTTCTGTAGGTTTCATGTAGTTCATCAGTTGAAATTTGAATGGAATGTAGAAATACAGTAGTCAACAAAATTTGAAGTTGAGCAACGGTGCAGATAAAAGAAAAAAGTGAAAAAATAACAACGACACATACCTTTTTGTCTGTTGCGGTGTCATACTTCCATATGGCCTTGTAGTTTAACCAGATTGCATGGGTGTGTGACTGTTACAACACAGGATGCGTGCAGGTTCCCAGGTGATGCAGACCCAAATTTGCAAAAAGCTGTTTGTTACAGGTGATGTCCAGGTCAGGCTACTCTGCTGTAGGTGGAAGAGAAGAAAAGCGCTTTAGTGAAACCAAAAGCCATCGGTCATAATGGCTGTTTTGTGACCATTGCACGAATATAAATCCTCGCTGTTGAATGAGCTTAAATTCTGCATCTGTCAGCTGCTGAGGGACACTGTAAAATGCTTGTGGCGTTTGGACTACCAGCAGAAAAAAGAGGCACTTTTTCTTATTTGTCGCACATTTTACTGTCATAGAGATATACAGCAGACAAAATTTTATGTCTACTAGAGTGTGGTTAAAAAACCCTCAAGCAGGTTTATGAGAAAAATGGCTCCAAAAGAGGAAAATTAGTAGATATTGAACCCGATTCTACCACACCACTTTGATAAAGGATCCATTCAGTTCTACAAGAAAACAATGGAGAATTTCCAACTAAAACAGTAGCTGTATAGCACCCATCTAAATTGTAAAGCTGTAGCATTTTACAAAACTTTCAGGATTCATGGTGCATGAAGTCAGTAATCAAACCATCTAATTAAATTATGTAGAATAATGAGGGGCTGAACCCTGTGCCTCCATGCTCTGTTGCGCCATACACAGTAGATCTGTGTGGAATCAATCTTTGTTTGCCTGTTTTACTTTAGGATGCCCCTTCTCCGTTTTCCCACAGTACAAACATGCTATAATAATTGTTGGCACGAGCCCTCAGTGGCTGTGAAGAAGATTAGTAACTGGATGAATGAATTACTGATCGAATGGCCTGAGAGGAGCGCCATAGCGAAAAGCTTTTGCCCGCTTACCCTTTAAATTTTCTAAATTCCAGTTTAAATGTTCACCTAGAATTCCATCTTTAATGTTTTTGTGTTTTGTTTTTTCTCCAGGATTGGAGTGGCCTTCATTTGCAGAAGTGGCAATACCATGGAAATCAAAACATTTGGCAAGTCAGAGAAGTACGTCTGACTCTGTACATCACTAAAATCACAAACATTCACATCTATTTATTTTGCTTCATGACATCACTTGCATAGAAGGTGGAAATATAATCACTGAATATTAATTGAGGCTTAATCTCAGTTGAACTGTTTTACAAATTGAAGCTATTACACTCCTGTTTTTAGTAGTTAAGGTACAAGACTGTGGGATGAAGTGGCCAGTGTTCATACTTAAAGAATTTCTAGAATTTGAATTTACTCTAATATACAACATGGAATCTAGGCGGTGTTCAAAAAATGATTGGCAACTACCTCCTGTGTGTTAAGAAAGACTTCAAGTTAAAGTTACCACACTCTCTTCTCTCTCAGGTATAAGCTGCTTCATGTATTAGAGTTTGATGCTGACCGCAGAAGGATGAGCGTCATACTACAGACTCCCTCAGGTAACAACAGTGATCTACTACACTGTATTTGTTGCAGTGGTAAATGGAGTGCATTTACAGTATATGGCACATTTAGTCCTCCATTTTTTTTACCTTATTTTATTGGCAAAATATTGACAAACAGCTAATTATGAAAGCTTGACATCAGAAAAAATAATCATACCATTAGAAGGTTTGGGAAAAAAGGACAAATCATAAGGTTAACTAGATAAGCTAGCTTTAGTTTAATAATATCAGAATGAGAATCAGCTTTATTGGCCAGGTGTGCTGGACACACGAGGAATTTGACTTTGGTACATCGGCTCACAATACATATCCTTATGTAAGCCAATAGCAAAGGGCAAGTAAACAATATAAGGCTGAGAGAACAGAAGTAAAGAGGTAATGTGCAAACAAGCAAAGGAAGGTTAGAAAGAGTGGATATAAACGTGTCAATTTTTTGCATGAGTTAGTTCTGTAGAAATGCAGAGAATTTGTATTTGATTTCACAAGGCCTTTTTATGTAAATCTACTACTTTCCCTGCACCTTTTCTTGTTGTCTTGACTTTCAAGGAGGCAAAGTCCTGTTCACCAAAGGCGCAGAGTCGGCCATCTTGCCTTTAACTACCAGTGGTGAGATAGAAAAGACGAGACTGCATGTTGATGAGTTTGCCTTGGTAAGGAATAATCCCTTCCAAAAAAAATTTGAAATGCACTTCTTGTTTCCCAGAAACTTATACTATCACTACTGTTTTATACATGCATTTGGTGGGTAGCGGTCAGCAAAAATCCTAAGTTCAGAATCAGAATCAGCTTTATTGGCCAGGTGTGTTGTACACACAAGGAATTTGACTCTGGGATCATATCAATGTGGCATCCATAACAAAACTACACTTTCCAGCAACTGCTCTGGTTTTTGACTTTATTGTAATCAGAAAATAGTACTTTGTGTAAATGTGCAGGCAGACTGGAGCCACAGAGGTTATGCAGGCATACCCCCTACACCATCCTATTCTTTTACATTAAGTGTACTTTTTACCATGCTGACTCACAAACTATCTGTGACATAGTCTAGATAGTTTAGGCAAAATGGCTATAGATACTCATGTTTTCCCCAAGCAGAACGGCAGAAAAGCAGATGCTGTGCACACTGAATAAATTCACTTCAGTTAACAGTATCCTCTGAAACATTATGTAACTTTATGATGAAAATTTCAAATACCTGACTCTGAAATGCCTCTTGATCCACATGTGTTTTTGGGTCTGACATTTCCTAGCATTGTAGTTATTACTTTTTCCTTGCCACTCTCTGTTTCTATTAGATTGTAAATTCTTGGTGTGAATAGACACACGCGCGCGCGCACACACACATACACACACACACACACACACTGATCTCCAGCCCTTATATCACGTCATTGGACATCAGTACCCACATGCCTGTGCTCTGGACGAGGCTGATTTGTGGTCGTCCACCTTTCAGGCAGCTTCAGTGATTTAAATCCAAGCTTTGATCATTTGTTTTTCTGTTCTTTCTCTTTGCTCCCTTTTCTATTTCCTTTTCTGTCCACACCTTCTCCACTTCCTCATGTTCACCCTTTCTTTTTTCACAAACATATTAATATTTTCATATTTATTTATCATTCTCATGCTTTCTTTATGTTTTTCCTTGTTCTTTTCATGCCATTTTTCATGAGTTCTCTCTTGTTTCTTGTGTTTTTTCTATGCCCATCTCCCACCCTCTTCCTCCCATCATAGAAAGGTTTGAGGACCCTGGTGGTAGCATGTCGCCACTTCAGCCCAGAGGAGTACATTGATGTGGACAAGCGTCTGATCAGTGCCCGCACGGCGCTGCAGCAGAGGGAGGAGAAACTGCAGGAGGCCTTCAGCTACATCGAGAGAGACCTGCAGCTCCTGGGAGCCACAGGGGTGGAAGACAAGTATGGAAACTTACAAAAAACTGGAAAATATTAGTAGAAATTGGTATATTGACGTTGTCCCTTACAAAAATTGTAATTCATCCTAAATGCATACAGTATGTCCATGATTTGTAAGTCTTTCACATCAGGAAGAGATTCAGTTTATCAGTAGATTGCAAACAGAAAGCAGTAGCACACAGAAGACTTTGCTGTGTTTAGCATGTACAGTCTCTGTCAACAGATACATACATAGCAAGTAGTTGACTCTTAATCAACTGGCTTTTGAAACATTTGAGGTAGGCTATCATCCTGAACTCATTTGACCGGTCCAGTTATAGTGATGTTCAGCTTGCAGTCTGATCTAAAATTCGGCAGCATGTAAATACCATATACTGTAGTTTACTTGTTAACTGTTGGTCTAATGGTCGGTCAGTCCAAAACATCTCAGCTATCTATTGGATGGATTATCATACAGTTTGGTATAGACATTCATGATCGTCAAATTAATTTATTTCTGAGCTTGGCCGTATGATCCATAATGATGACATTCTCAGAGTTAGGGAAGTAAAAAATATATAACCAAAGTAATATGTTAAACATTGTTGAAGCAATTTGAATTAAACAGATTTTTGACATTAAAGAAGAACTCAGGCATTATAAAACAGCTGAAAACAGAAATACAGACAAAGTGGGAGGGACAATCTCCAACTAACAAAAAGTGTATAGTCAGCAGGGAGCTGGAGGCATCACCTGCCTGAGCCTCTGGAAAAGAATGTTTGCAACCACACACCATATGCCCATCACACAAGTCTCTCACTTCACCCACTTTGTTTATTTCTCCTCTTTTTGTTGTATCTGGATGGAAATCCTCCATAGGCACACATGGTCACAATCATAGGGTCTCTTCTGTTACAAGCCTAAAATTAAATGTACCTATGTTTTAAGGCTAATATAAATAGTATAATCCTGAAAGGAATGGTGATACTTGGATCATATTTACTGTTGATTAACCTCTTTAGGAATATTAACTGTATTCATAAATAGGACAAACATTCTAAACAAAATCAGTCCTGACCAATTTGAGAGCAATAGTTGTACTAAATAATGAACACTAGTTTGCTAAATTTTCGTTTAGTTCATGCTACATGGGGATCAACAAAAAGCTTTGCAAATACAGTTTATGTTAACAGCAAATTGTCTTTACTCTCTCTTCTTTTTTCTCCCTTAGACTTCAAGACAAAGTCCAGGAGACCATTGAGGCTCTGAGGCTAGCTGGGATCAAAGTGTGGGTGCTGACAGGGGACAAACATGAGACAGCAGTCAGTGTCAGCCTGTCCTGTGGTCACTTTCACAGAACCATGAACATCCTGGAGCTCCTGCAGCAGCGCTCTGACAACGAGTGTGCTGAGCAGCTCCGCAGACTGGCCAGAAGGTAGGTGTGTGTGTGTGTGTGTGTGTGTGTGATTCTTCTTTTAAATGGTAGAGAATTGTGAATCTTGATTTGCTGATACCATTAAAGCTCTTGAGTGTTAAATGTTATTCTATTCATATTTAAATCAAGAGTACCAGGTAATGTCTAGATAAGTTCAGGGTTGCAGTACATGTATGAAAGGGGCTACATTCTGTTTTTGTCTTTTTCTGACTTTTTCTCTCTGTTTGTCCCCAGAATAAAGGAGGACCATGTCATACAGCACGGCCTGGTTGTGGATGGAGCCAGTCTATCTTGGGCATTGAGAGAGCATGAGAAACTATTTATGGAAGTGTGTAAAAACTGTTCTGCTGTGCTGTGCTGTCGCATGGCCCCACTGCAGAAAGCGAAGGTACCAGTGCTTTGTCATACACACGCCACCTTACAGACTTGTTGGAGAGTCTGACCTTCACTAGACAATCTCAGCGCACATGTGACTGTTAACTTTGTTCTGTCCAGGTGGTTCGTCTTATAAAAACATCTCCAGAAAAACCCATCACCTTGGCTGTTGGGGATGGAGCCAATGATGTCAGTATGATACAAGAAGCCCATGTCGGCATAGGTGAGCAATCAACACACACCATAAACACACATTATGGTCTCAGGTTGACAATATTTTTACTCTGCAGTGACGTTTCCAATCCACTTTGTTTGCATGTGTCTGCAGGTATCATGGGGAAGGAGGGTCGTCAGGCCGTGAGGAACAGTGACTATGCAATTGCCAGGTTCAAGTTCCTGGCTAAACTACTACTGGTCCACGGTCACTTCTACTACATTCGAATAGCTATGCTTGTACAGTACTTTTTCTACAAGGTATGAAATTTCATTTACATTTTTTAATTCAGTTGCTAAAAACAAGGGTTTTTTCGTGCTACAAAGTGCTGATTTTCAGTTTTTGCTTATTGAAGTCAACCCCTTGATGGCCCTGGAGGTGGTTTTGATTTATTTGATGTATTTATTCTTTCAAGCATGTAAAGACAGTTGATATGTCAACACACATAATTTTACACATATCCAACAAATGCTAATCCAAAATCAATTTGCTTATACCTATTACATGCTTGAATGGATTAGGAAGAAGTCA